ACAGTCTCTGTCCATCTGGTAGATTTGAGGTCATCTGGTTCACTACAATAACATGAAACAAGGTGGGGTACAGACTTGCATTTTGCTGTGTGGCTGCAGCTAGGCGTAGGAAAGTTTCCTTTCAAAAACAGGGCTGCCACTTCAAAATCCAAGATGGCCACCACCACATACATGTGTAAATCAGCAACCCCCATAATTTGAGGAAACCATGTTTTCTAGTTTCTATATTGCTTAAAAGTATAGTTTCCTCAAATGATTGGTGTGGTCGGTGCGGTGGCCAAAGATTAATCTATGGTGGCCAAGGGCATCAATAGCCAACCCCTGGCACCGCCATTGTGCCTGGTGGTGGATAAAATTGCACCCTTTGCTTGTCAGGATCCATTGCTGCGCCACCTCTGACAAGAAAAAAACCCTACCTCTCTTTATACCATTGTAACATGTACCCACTTGAATTATTGCGATCCTCGGTGGTTTGACCCAAGTGCAGGCAGACAAGGGGAACAGGAAGTAAATAAAATGAATTTATTAACAAAGACAAAAAGCTGATGTGGCAGCAAAACTTACACAGATCATGGAGCGAACAGGAACAAGACAGACTGGGGAAAATACGAGAAGCACCAGGACGTCTTTATAGAACAATGAGTGGACGGCGAGGAGGTGATAAGGGATAGTTCAAACAAACTGGGTGAGAGTCAAAGTGGAAACACCTGGGCTGAACACTGGGGACAGGTGAGGGTGGCAGGCTGAATGAAAAAACACTGGAGGTTTACAGAGGGTAAATGGAATATGGCACCAGGAAACAGAAACAAAACACAAATCCTCTCATGAATATCTTGAACCAAAAACATTAAGTTGTACTTGCATTTTCTGTTCAATTCCAGTCTAGAAAAACACTAATTTCGAAAATAACAAACATTCACTTTTCAAATCCTCCAGCAACGGGGGACGTCGGCATACTGCGTGTCAGTACGTATTTGTATAGAGTATACAAAAATGCAACCAGTTGCCAAAACATGAATCAAACACATCTTGCATTTGAATTTTAGACTAAAGATCTATTTGCAATAGGTTATGATTTTGCTATGGGGTGGGGGGTTGTTCTTTCTGCAGCTTCCTTCTGCAGGGGTTGCCACGTCATGCAAACTCAACTTAAAGATGTGGTAATATAATGCCCTTCCTGATGCGACCTGGTCTCCAACTCACAACCTCAGGACTACAAGACCACCAAGCTACTGCAGCCCCCGGTTACATTTCTACTATAACATTTTTACTTTTGACAAAGGAAAAGACAAAAACATATTTTTCTTTACTACAACTGATTACCCTGCACATGTATACCAGGTCTATTCATCTAAATTGCTCAGGGGACCACAGTTATGGGTTATAGGGGGCGGACATCCAGCAGTTATTCTCATTAAGTATGGTTGTTTTATGGTTCAAAATGTAGTTTTATTTAAAAATGGACCAATTGGTGGGCCGAACTGAGATCACTCATGGGCCTGATTTGGCCCCCGGGCCACCAGTTGAATAGCCCTGATGTATACAATCAGGTAGTCTTCTGACAACCTTCAGCTTCCTGGAATTACTTTGTTCTTTTTAAAGATCCAGAATGTGAAATCTCAGGAAACAAGTGTAAGATTGTTTGAACGCCTTGAGTTGTAATAAAACACACATTTATTGATCAGTCATTGAATGTCACAAATAAGAGAAATCATCTCGTCTTTTACAGACTCCTGAAGCTTATTGTTGCCATTTAGAGAATCTCACGCATCGTTACGAATCACCACTGGCATATGGAGGAAATAAAATGTAAGAAACACATTTGTTGATGTGCTGAAAATGACATTTTATCGTCAATAAACATTTAAATTGATCATAAAGTAAATTACACAGCAATCATATTTAGAAACAGTAGAAAACAAACGAAAAACAACACAAACTTCTATCGATATTAGTGAGAGTTTCACTCTGCTGCTCTGATGGAAAACTCTGAATCAGCTTGTTTCAGTTTTCAGACATTACGACGAGACTTGTGATTATTTGAAGTAAAATGCTGCCTTTTAGTCTGCTGCTGTGGGACTCAGAGGTGAAGTGACATCCTAAACAGAAGCTGCTGCTTGAGTCGTATTGGCATCACGCGTCGACCAAAGGTTCCAGCTCGTAGCACACTCGTCCCGCCAGGTCTTCAGGGACTTGCTCATCAGCCCTTTCAGAATCAGCTCCGGCGTTTGAGGCCTTCGGGTCGTGACTGGAGCTTTTAGTTTGATACAGCTTATTGGTGCGTTCCCTAAATGGTTTTAGGAGGGAAATCATTAATATAACAATCACAGAAAACAACATCCCACCAGTTTAGTGTCTAAATATATGTACTGTATGTAATATTAATGTAATAAGAGCAGTTCGGATAATAGGTTACAAATTTAAAAGCTGGAAACACGCCAATTTCTAAAGACATAAAAAAAATCAAAGAAAGCAGTTGTTATAAATAAAGGTTTGACACTTAGGTCCACTTTTAAAAACAACAGCAGGTAATTATCAATCGCATTTAACGGCAGTGGACGATAGCATGCCTGACTTCTTGTGTTTGACTGTTAGCATAATATTTCATGGACTGCTGGACATTTTATTGAAACTCCCAGAAAGTAATTATTGGATGTGTATCTACAGAACTTATGGTGCCAATCTGAAACAAGATGGCCTCTTCAGCTGCTCAACCTTAGCAAACACAATCAGGACTGTAACTCCATCAGTTTTACAGATACTGAGCTAAAATCTGGTGTGGTAGTAGCTGGTATGAATCAGGAACTGATCGCATAAAATGTTTCTGAAACTTTGGCATTCACTTTTGAAGTCAATGTTTGTTCTCAAGATATCTAATTAGGTGGCGGACAGATTTGAATAAAACTACCAGGAAGTAATCATCGGATGGACAGCTACTGATTAACGGTTGGAGTCACCTTGATTTAAGATGGCTGCCACATCTAACAGATACAAAAAATACAATATTTCAGTCAGTTTTACTGATTTGGTGAGGCTGAAGTGAAGTCACCCCCAACACACATTCAAAGCTAAAGGTAGCAGAAAGGCTAATTAAAGGTTGCAAAAGGCTAGCTAAAAAAGCAACAAAATAATAGGTAAAGGTAGCTAAATGTTAGCTAAAAGCTAAAAATAGCAGAACAGTATCCATACGTTAAAATTATAAAAGGGTAGCTACTGTATATGTTCAAAGTAGCCAGACTGTGGCTAAAAGCTAAAAGCAGCTTAAGTCGACAAAAGCCGCACAAGTATGCTGATGCAGATTTCAGCATGTTTCAGATAGAAATCAAAAGAAATCAGTGTATTTCTATGTGGAAAAAAAAAGTTGTAGCTCTTGAATGAACTGAATGTTTTGAACAGCTGAAGTAACACAGAGTATGCAGAAGTACATCATTTGTTAAAACACAACAACAACAATAATAATAATAATAATAATAATAATAATAAAACAAGACATTAGGGAGGACTAATCTCTGGGGAACATGGCCACCCTCAGATACAGACTATAATTTAAAATATTCTATATGAACAAACCAAATGTGGCCTGAGAGATATGAAAGAAGCAAGATTAACAGTTTGTTCAAGTGTGAACTAAATAAAACAAACTTAACATGCTTTGACTTTTTTACCTTTCATCCACTGCTCCGTTGCTTTTGTCCTCCTGGTCTTTTTTCAGTTCCTTTAACCTGCTGCTGAACTGAACTACGACACCTGAAAGTGAGCACAGCATCATCATGATGGATCCAGCAGCTGTTCTTGTTAGGACAGAGTAAATCTAGCATAACAAAGTCTAAAAGATTTAAAGCTAAAAATAGCACAAATGTATGATAGTATTCTGTGGACTTCCAAATATTATCAAACAGCTGACTTGTAACAACAGAACTCACTTCATGAACCGATGAACAAATTTTAATGACACATCTAGAAATAACTTTTGGATTGAACCCATTTCAAAATGGCTGCCACAGCTAATCAGTCCTAGCAAACATAAAAATGACTATAACTCTCAAGTTTTATATATATTGAGCTAAAATATGGAATGTACACGTTACAAGTATTTATTCATTTAACAAATATTACAATCTGTGATGTAAAGCGCACTCTAAAATTATTAGACATTAGTTCTGGGGTCTGCAACCTGCGGCTCTGGAGCCACTCTTTGGTCCCTCTGCAGCGGCTCTAAGTTTTGGCCAAAACTAACATAAAACTGAAGTTTATTGGTTGTACAGACAACAAGAAATGTCTAGTTGTAGCAGTTTTCCGGTCATTTCTTTTGCCAACATGTGAATGATAGTACTAACACAAGGAGTAAAACTTGTTCACATCAGACTGATGAAGCCCTCTGGATAGAAGGCGAAACATCTTTCCACAAAAAAGAAACTGTTCAGAGGACCTGATTGACCATTACTGGATTTTGTACCTGGATAATTGAGCATGAACTTTGAAGTAAAACTTGTTGACTACATAGTAATTTGTTATCCACTTCTTTTAGCTCACTTCCTGTCTTACGGTGTGATCTTTGTGTCAAATCAACCAAATGTTTTGTGGGGAATACGTTTAAGGCAAGTTGCTGAGGAGAAATATGGTAAGTTAACTTGATAACAATAAAAATTTAAGAAAATAAAAAAGTCAAAGTAAATTGAAGTATTTATTTTCATTTTAAAATTCAATTATGTATCCAACAAAACTGGCCTAATTTTTAACTTTATGCTTTATTACTTCATAATAGGATACTTTTTGAATTGTTTCTACAATAAAAAAAAGAAAGAAAAAAAACAAGCCTGCACGCTTGTGTTTGAATTTTTATAAAATTGGTTAAAAAATATATATATTTATATATTTTTTTCTTCTTTACATAAATTTTGCCCTAAAATGTAAAAATATCAATAATTATGAATAATAATTTGATATTTGAGTTTCAAAATATTATACCTACTGGCTGGAAAAGCCTCCTCCAACAAGCTTGAAGTGGGCCATGGGCCACCAGTTGATAATCACAGTTTGAGCAGGTTTTGCGGCTCCAGACATTTTAAAGATAAGTGCTATGTGTTGTCATCATTGTATGTTCCCAGAAAATGACGAAATTGGTTCTCTGCATTTAACCCATTGCAGCTGAGATACACCCAGGTGGAGCAGTGGGCAGCTATGTAGGCACCCGGGGAGCAATTAGGGATTGGGTGTCTTGCTCAGAGACACCACGACGTGGGAATGGCTGGGAATCGAGCCTGGGACTTTCAGGTCCCGAGTCGGCTGCCCTATCTCAGCCCCAAATTATTTATTATTTATTTATTATTTAGTGTGCAAAGGGGCAGAAATGGCTCTTTTGGTCATAAAAGTTGCAGACCCCTGCTTAGTCACTGGTGCATTTCTGTAACATTTAATTGGAAATCTTACCAGAACTTTGCCATTTCTTCCTCCAGACCCATAAACCAACAACCAACAGAAGGAGCAGCAATATTAAAATGCTCACAACAGCTGCAGTAACCGAAGAGGACGAGGTTCCTGCAGGGAGTAAAAGTCAAAGTGATAGATATATCAATACAGTATCCCATTAATAAAAATAAAAAAATGGAACATTTTCCTCTCAGGCCTTACCAGTTATAGAGACGTAGAGTGAGTTGGAGGGAAGGGAACTAAAGTGTACATTGGAAATGTTCACCCCGTAGACGCAGACGTACTCTCCTTCGTCTTTAAAATCGATTTCAGGGAACTCAAAGTATGTCACGTAGAAGATGGAGTAACCCAACGTCGGTTTTGCTGCAGTAATGTTTTTGTTTGACCTTGTCAAATAGAAAACACCCTCGGGGTATCTGGAATGAATGGAGCAAGTGATGGTGAAGGGGCTTCCTTTGGCGATTGATAACTTTTGCGGGCTGAAAGCCACTGGCATGTGACCAGATGTTAGGTAGAGGCTGGGCTTCTCTAACTTTACTGCAAGACAGAGGAAGAGAGTTTTACAAACAGATTTGAAAATGGTAAAGAAAGTACTCTACAAACACTGACCAACAATGTGTTTTGTTTTTACCTATGACTGAGAGATCAGCTGTGTTTCCCTGAGGATAATAGATGGCTTGTTGGTTAGGAAGTTTTTTATGATATTCACAGAAGTATGTCCCGTTAAGGCTGAAGTCCGCCTTCAGGAAAACAAACGTTGCAGCTTCAAACTCAGAGTATTTCTCCATTTGAAACGATCCTTGGGTTTTTTTCAGCACAAATGTCCCACCTAAGTGTTCAGTTGCGACAGTGCAGGTGATTTCCACTTGCTCGCCCCAGTTTACCCGAGGAGAAGGACTTAAAGTGATTTGGGGCTTCTTTAGATCACCTGAAACAGATTGGCGGGTTCGTCACAGCACGATCGGAGGAAAATGGATCATTCATGTATATTTTTTTAAAAATAGCCAGTTTTCTTACCTAAACAGATTACGCTTGCATCTTCAGCGTGCCCGCAGTTGTTTTCTCCAAATCCACGATGCGCACAGTGTGATAGAGCAGATTCTTGGCCTTTACACACCACATTATCCAACCATATCGGACCAGAGCCTCTTCCAAAATGGGCACTAGTCGGTGCAGAGACCGCATGACCGCAACCAAGTTGTCTACAAACCACATCAGCGTTGACCATTTCCCATTCGTCATCACACACGGTGCCCCACTGGCTTTTATAGAAGACCTCCACTCTGCCGGAGCACTGACCCGAGCCGCCAACCAGCCGCAGCTGGGCTGGGGATTAAAACAGAAAAGGGTTTAGTACAGATGCAATGGGCAGGGTGAAAGAGAGAAATAAAAGATTGTGTTTTTCTGGTAGTTTGAGGAAAAAATGCACATGTACACAATAACTCATAAAAAGTTGAAACTAGTTATTTTCCTTTTAAACGCTGTAGTTTGGAAATCTATGTTGTACCAGTCATGCTTCATATTATATATAGTCTGCTCAGAATGTTTCACCTCATTTGTCATACTCCTCATTTCACAGTGTTTGGGTGAAAAAAATGAGACCCTGCCAGATTAAACAACAGTCATGCCCAAAGTTTTTTTATTTATGAGGGTTTGAAGGAATAGTTTGGTCCAGGAAAGGCTTTGCTTATTTTCATCATGAATATATCAAAGGAAAGGTTCAGTTATTTTAAAGAAGAGTTCTGTAGAAAAGGTATGAACAGTCAATATCTTACCTGTTGTAGATAGCTTTTTGAAGTGCCTCAATTTGGCGAGAGAGTGATTTATTCTGACTGGACAGACAAGCTAATGGCTAATTAAAGTGTTGTCAAGAGCAAAGGGGGTTTCTGCCATCTCAAATCTGAAAACTTTTATAGCGGTTCATGTGAACATTATTTTACAAACCCTTACAGCACCGTCAATTTTGCATTAAACAGTTATTTACATATAATTTTATGGTTATTTGCAAATGTAAATATCTGCAGCAGCAGAACAAACATGTACAGTAATGTGCAACTGACATAAAGGGAAAGGTTTATAAAATTGTCAGGATCTGTGTTTTGTTGTGCTTTGTCCCTCCTGTGTTTATTTAGTTCCCAGTGTTTTTCCACTCACTTTGTTTCTGTTCCTGCCCCTCCCACTCTCACCTGAACCTCATTGTCCTCCCCAGGTGTTGTATATGTCTCGTTTGGTTAGTCCCTTGTCAGTGGATTGGGCTTTTCAGCCGTTCCTCCATGCTCCTTTGTTTTGTCATTTTTTTCTGCCACGACAGCTTTTGTTTTTGTATTTATTTAATAAATTGTTATTGTAGTGAACTAAGCCTCAGGTCAAAACCTGCCTCTGAAGACCTTCATGGGACAGGAACTGTTATTTCATTTATTTGAATCCAGAAATACAAATTAGCTCATCCAGAGACTTTCTCATTGTATTCTGAACTAATCAATTGAAAGAACACTCTCTTTTTATATTATCATTACTATTTTTACAATGTCTTGATAATCCAAAAGTGTGTTTAGTTCAAACCATTTTAAATGTTGAAGTGAACTACTCATTTTAAATCAACTATGAAACAGTATTAATGATTTTTTTAATCCTCATTCAAAGTAGAAATCATTTTAAATGTCTATGTTACAAAGTAATTATGCATTTTGATCTTCTGTCTGAAATGAGAAGTAGTGATGTCGGTCGAAAGTCAGAAAGAAGTTATTGGAACGAACTGTCATGTTTTTAAACCTAGCAGACGGTAAATAAGAAGCTACTGGCACCTGCGTCCTCCCACTTCGCCAAAACATTTCTCTGTCTGCTCCTAAACATTTCTCTGTCTGTTCCTAAACATTTCTCTGTTTTTCTGACTTGTAGTAACCTCTTATGTCACTAAAACCACACCCCTGTTGGTTCTTTCAACCAATCAGGACTTCCCAAATGGGACCGGAAGCAGAACTCTTTAAAAAGTCGACACTTCCTAGTTCCAGTAGTTCTGGAGGGAACAGAAGTTCTACACATGAACCGAAGTTCTGGGAGACATGAACCGAAGTTCCATGGAGAACAGAGAGTTCTGCTGAGAAGAAAGACAGTGCGACTTTACAAGGGTGAAGTCCACGGTGGTCATTTTCTAAAGATGACACCTGTCTGGAGTGTTGATTCTGGTCATTACGCCAAAGACCTATTCAACATCTCAGGAGTTCAGCACGTTTGCTGAAATTCCACTTAACTTAATCCTATCTTTCGGGGAAGTTTATTTTGGAAGCTGGGCCAGTCAGCCTCGTGGTCCCAAGTTGATGAGACGCGGATAAATCCCTGGAGGTAAAAAGACTCAGCCTTGATGGACGCCAGGAGAAGACCTCTCTGAAACCCCACCAAGGTAAAGAGTCGACACTCGGGTACCATCTAGCCGAAATCACTGGGAAACGTGCTATCTGGTTTCAAACAAGATAACTCCCCATCTTTTCTTTATTATCTTAGTTAACCCTAAGTATCCACTTTCCCTCCTTAAACTTTACTCCATCTCTTCTATCGCGCCAGTAAAAAGATAAGCTAAGCCTGCAGTAATTAATCCAGATATCTAAGGAAATGTCTGTTGTTTTAAGCTGCAAGTGAGAAATCATGGCCGTATGATTTCTCATTGTAAAGCTCATTAATTAAGCTGTGTTATTGTAATCGATCAGAATAATCAAGTGTACAATGTTTTGATGTTAAATTTTGATTCTGTTAATAAATGACCGCATTCATTTTGATGGGTCAAAGAAAATTAACGTCTCATGTCACTGATTAGACCATCTCCGACACAGTACTTCTAAGCACAATATCACTTAGTCCAGAAAAATGAAAGAATCCGTTTAAATTAAGTATAATATCATGTACTTGAACTAGTCCAGATATTATAAAATGTAAGAGAGCACCCCTGAGCTAAATCCATCTCTCGGCTCTCTCACTACATTATTCTTTATTTTACCCTAGAGTTTCCCTGTGTCTGTCTGTCTACACCTGGGTTTAACTCTAAACCCAGAGCATGATAAAACACATTTATGAAAATTTGTTAAAACATTTTTGGAATTGTGTTAAGTCGGTAGAAGAAATTTTGAAATTGGCTCTGTTCAGACTAGCCATTACTTTGTTATTTTGATCAGAATCATACACTATTTCTCCAAGATGAGGTCGCTCATAGTGCTACCAAAAACAAATAAGATTTTATTTGTTCATAGCCTTCATAAGGAAGCAACTTAAAAATACTGAACCTTTATTATAGTCATGTTTATATCAACATATATATATATATACATATACATACA